AAAAATTGGAGGCTAAAAGGCCTAACTACAATCAAAGATTTGTACATCGACAAAAAGTTTGCTTCATTTGCAATGCTGAGGGACCGCTTCTCTCTTCCGGGTACAGATTTTTTCAGATATCTGCAAATTAGAAATTATGTTCAAATTAACATCCCAAACTTTGCATCTCTCCCCGAAGAAAATAAATTAGGTAGAATGCTGTTGGGCTCCCCAGAATAAAAACAAATCATTTCAGCATTTTTGCAGAGGGAATTAATTTTGCCACAGACTCTCTGAGGGCTGCATGGGAGGAGGAGCTGGGCTTACAGATTGGAAGTGAGGTCTGGGAGGAGGGTCTTGGGAGGATTCGATCGTGCTCATTTAATGTAAAGCACCAGTTAATTCAGTTCAAGGTGTTTCACAGACTCCACTATTCAAAAATAAAATTGCACAGAATATTCCCATCAATATCTCCAAAATGTGATAGATGTAAATCTGCTGATGGGTCCTTGTCTCATCTGTTCTGGTCATGCCCCAAGCTCTTTCAATATTGGTGTGACATTTTCAAATGGTTCTCTGAAGTGTATAAATGTACCTTGATTCCAGACCCCCAAATTGCATTGTTTGGATACTCTCCCTCACTGAGGAACTGCAGCATTTCTATACAAACGACTGTGGTTTATGGAATGGTAATAGCTAAGAAAGTAATATTAAGGCTGTGGAAAACTGACAAGGTTCCTTGGTTTAAAATGTGGATAAGCGATTTTACTGATATTCTTTATTTGGAAAAACTGCGGTATGATGTTAAGGACTCCACTAATAAGTTCTGTAGTATTTGGCAGCCAGTTCTGGACCATATTTCTCAGTCTAAGACTGACCCTGACAGTCGCTCAGTTTCTTTCATGGAAATGTAGTACTATTCTAAAGTGTAAATGGTAATCGGTGCAGTGTAACAGTTATTTAGATAATTTGTCTGGCTTGTTTCCATTTTTTATGTTTATTTTATTTACCTTTTTTTTTTTCTTCCTCTCTCTCTTCCTGTCTTTCTCTCCTCTCTTTCCCTCTTGTTATTGAAGGGTTTTTTCTGTCTCTCTCTTTTTTTTTTTTTTTGCTTTTTGCATTACTACTATTGTTGTACTGGTAAGAGTATATTTTTTCTTGAAACCTAATTTTTTAATATATATGTATGCTTTATACTCGGGTGTGTGATTTTTGTATGTTTCACTTTGAAAACTTAATAAACATATATTTAAAAAAAAAAATGACAAGTTCGAAGTTAGGACAAAGAAAATCTAAATAAATTTTTTATTTTGGTTAAAAATAATCGCAATTTTGATTTTGGCAAAATCGTTCAGCCTTAATCCACA